CTGGATTTGTGCTAGTATTTGGCTTGCTATTAAGTTTACTTTTAGCAGCTTCCTCTTCGTTGGAAAATATATTGACAACAATCTTAGGTAAGTCTATGAATATCACAAATGCCTCGGAAAGCCTTGTTTTGATTGAAAAAACCTGCCATATCCTTAAAATAAGGCTGGAAATGGTTAAAATATTCAAAAATTTTAAAATATCCAAAGCATCCACCAATTCCAACTCTGAAGAAAGGAGTGGCACATAAAACGACAGAAATAAAAGGAATCACACAAATCTTAAAGCTGGGGGCTGCTTTCTAGCAAAAATCACGAACCACAAAACCGTGAAAATTGCTGGTAGTGTCTGGAGATTGTAAGCATCTTTACGTTCACTTATTGTATATGTTCGCTAAGCAGCAGCAGAAGATGAGAAACACGAAATATCATTATTATCATTATAGGTATGATTTTTTTCTTACATTCATCTCGTGGAAATTTAAATGAAATATATAGCAAACACGTTTCAAGCTGCTTATGCGAAAGTTTAGTTCTAATTTCATTTTTCCCTTATCGTCTTTTATTTTAGTTAAGTTAAAGAAGTGAGAGACGAAAGAAGAAAGCAAGAAATTCTTTAAAATGCAATTAACTGATGGAACAACGCTTTCTGCTTTTACATGTTCACGCTGCTGCCTTAAGGCGAGAAACGAAAGAACAATTTTATTAAATTTATCGCAATTAGATTTTCTTTTCTCTTCCCTTTTTTTATTTAACAACAAGAACAATGTCTCTTGTACCCTCCTCACATTCTCCATGAATGACATTATCGTCTATCTGTTCTACTCTACTCTTCTATATCCTCTCCATCACATCACACACATAAAATGTATCACATTTTTTGTATTATACTCCACATAGATACGATCCATATGCAATGTATACATAATTATATTCGTTTTAATGGCGCTTTAATGAGTATGAAAAAAGAATACATAAAGTGGCATTAAAATTTATGTTGCAGTAGCAACGAGCGACATTACTACTGGCAACTGATACTCTCCCATAGTTGAGATGTTAAAATAGACTAGCATAAAATAATAATATTAAATTTTTTTTTTCATAACCGTAGATGAGCAGAAACACACCGACAAAAAAAAAACAGAGGATACTAATAGACACACCGGAACTACAATGGAAGCAACAAGAGGGAATTGTTATGAATATAATTTCTTAATAAAACGGAATGCTGAGCTGTGTAGTGTTGGATGATAAAGTAGCTTTGTCGTTGGAAAGTTAATGAAAATTCTTGGAATTTATGAAGCATTAGTTCGAGGTTGATTTAATTTTTTAAGGACTTTTAAGTCAAGAAATTATGAGATTTAATATCCACAAATGAGATTTAATTTCAATTAAAAGTAAGTGCATATGAAGCAATGTCAACATGCTGTATAAAAAAAAAATTTACCGCTTTCAAGAGCAGAAAAATGTAAAAATTTTAAAACTTTTGTTATTCCAAACTTTATATAAACTCTGCCTTCAATGTTTTGGCATTTGAAAGTTTATCACAATAAAGAATTTTCTCCCATATTAAAATGAACAATCTACAGCTTGCAAATTTTACAATTAATTATTTAGATTGTAAATTAAAGGAAGGCGAAAGAGCAGGAAAAAAATTTTCTACTCTGCAGTTTAAAATGCGATTATAAACAATATTTCAATGTTGAGCAATATTTAAATGAGAAGGAAAAAGTTTATTTTTAATTTTGTTGTAGCTACTGTATTGTGATACATTGCTGCTGACATTTTCGTTGCACTATTATAAAATTTATTATGAAAACAAAAAGAGAAACGACGTTTATGTGAAACTTTATCTTACGTCTGCTGCTTCAATTTTGTACAAAAAAAAAATTAAATATTCTGTTTAATTATCTGTAAATTATATGTCAATATCAACCTCTTTACTTGCTTGCTTACACATCATATGACATGGAAAAGTTCTTCCTCTTCTTATATCAAATCTTTTACATCTTATTTGCCCTCAAACTATTAACTTTTCGTTTACAAACTCATGGTCGCCTGCTACATAGCTCTTTGATCCCTTTCTCCTCTTCTTTTATCTCGTCTGTGTCTTTTTGCGATGAGAAAATACTTTCAACTAGCATAGCATGCAATTTTTTGAAACAAAACTCCTTCTCGCATCTAATTTTTGTGTACATGATGTATGACACATTGTAAAAATACCAGAAAATACTCGAGTTTATCGTAAAGAGATTTCGTGTTCCTAAATACACTTCATGTACTTTAGGGAGCGGAAGGAAGGAGAAGTTATCACAAAGGGAAGCATTTTTGACGTTGATGATTATGAAAACTGTTGCTAGAGACGCGAAAGTTTGTAGTTTGTTGAGGAATTACTCATGTGGGGATCCTAATTGATTTTCTATAATATTATACTGAATAACTGATTGATCATTCCTATTCAGGCACTCGAATGTTATAACAAAAAACCACACCTAAACTCTAAACTTTGCAAAAACAACTGGAGAAATGTATAAAATCCAATTATGTAATTAAGAGGATTATATAAATGAAACAGCATTCCAAAAGACTTTTAACAGGTATTTGTGGATTTTGTCATTCGTAGGTATTTACTTTAGATCTTGTTTTAAAATTAAACACGATTTCACACATAAATTCCTTTCTTTTTTTTTTGCTTTCCCACAAAAGATCAAAAAATGCCATTTCCCTTTTTTTACATCAGAAACTAAAAGAAAATTGTCGTTTCCATAAAGAAGAAACCCTTTTTTGAAATTTTCCCATTTTCCATTTCCCAATCTGATTAACCAAGCATCAAGTAGTATGGTTTTTCCCTTTCATGTCTGCTTTTATACCCGTAACAGAAAACTTTTTCATTTCTCTTCATTCTCAACATCATCATTTCATACTGATGCGCTTGATTTATTTGATGTTCATCAAGAAAGATGAGGCAAAAATAAAATTATACAAAATCTTTTTTTTTTCGAACCCCCATCACCAACATCGTCATCATCATCATCATTTCTTGTGAGACACATACATCCAAAATGAAGGAGCTGACAGAAGAAGGAGATGTATGAGGAGATGATAAGAAAAACTCAAACAATTTTCTCCATTTTCCCGTTAATGACAAGAAAAAAATTTTCCCTTCTACATGCTTTCTTATGTTTGGCATGAAACGCAAACTCTTGAGGTTTTTTCGGTTTGTGACATCGAAATTCGAGTGAGATATGGTGAATAGCATCTATGTACGATGAGAAAGAGGAGCAAAGACGAATGAATATTGGAAAAAAAAGTGAATAAGAGACTGAAAATTTACTTTAGCGAAATGGATTATCGTTAATTTTTCTTGTAATTAGAAACGTGACTGGAATAAATGTCGAAGTGCAAAGTTTATAGAAGCTTGAACGAACAAAAATTATTCATTGATAATTTCATACCGATAACAAGTACATCGTTGTTATACATTCATAATCTGTACAGAGAAAAATTTTCTCTTCTGTCGTCTTTCAAGCATGGCATACAAGACAAGAAGAAATGCTTTCCGAAAAAAAAACAGGGGGAGCTTAATGCTCGCAAAAATCACCTCAATTTTTCTTTCATCAACTTTCATTTCTCATTATTGAAAAATTATTAAAAATCAATGTTCATATCTTAAGCATAGGCATAGACATTGACGCTTAATGTGTCTACTTTTCTCAATTGTTTGATCATTTAAGACACATAATTGTCAAATTATTCATTCCAAAATATGTATGCTCGCTTAATTGTCTTCTTCCTTTCAATATTTTTTTCGTGATGATTGAAATTTTTTTATTAAGGAAGAGAAATTTCAGCTTAGTCGATGGAAAGGAAGTGAAAATCAATTTGTAGATTTTTAAAATACGCTAATTTAGTTTTCTTCAACAATTTGCATTTATTGGGCAATTATTTTTGAGATTCAGCAATAAATTTAATATCGACTATAAATTGCATTTGCTGATTGCTTTGCTAATGATTGCTTCCGATTGATTTTGATGAGTAGGAATGGGAATTTTGTGGGAGGCTCAATAATTGTACCATTATTTTTTTTAAAAAAAAAACTAAGTTAATTGAAATTTTTCTATATCCTCAACCTAGATTTTTTTAAAAAATTTTCTACAGTTCAACATCCACTCCCTAGCTGCATTTAATTAATAATTTTTGAATTGCAAATTTTTAAACATTTTAATTTTTGCAAAAACATTAATTTTTTAATGCGATAATCATCAGATGTTTTTATAACTGTCATTATTATTGTATCCACATCATGTTTATGGAATTTAAAATTTTAATGAGATCAGTTATGTAACTTAATTTATTTTTTCGTACGATCATAATGTCTGGGAATTTTTGATGGAAGGGATTGTCGATCGCTTTCTAGCAAATGCTGTGATTTTTGGAAATTTGCTTTGAATTTTTTAAGATTTTAATCTTTCCATTGTTCTGTGAACTTTCATTTGACTTCTTTTAAAAAAAGTTTCAATGTTCATACTTAATATTCAATCTGAGTATAATTGCATAACTTTTCTGAGTCATACGAAATTTTTGTCTGTACTTCAACTTCTGGGTTGAAACCACGCTGAGTCATGAGAATTTATAATTTTTTTTTGAAATATTTTGCAACTTCCAAGCTGATTTTTGGATGTTAAATGGTAGTTTTAGCAATTCTTTGAACACTTTTTAAGGCAAAAACATTCAACAGATGGAATTTAATAGAATTTCATTAATTTATCAATCCTCAAATTTTATAAATTATTTTTTTCTAATTCTGCAAATTTTTACTAACACTCAAAAATCCCTAACTTAATATTTTTAACTCCCAATTGAAACCAGACCAAAGTCTGAATTTTTTTCTAGCAATTTATCATTCACAAATGATTTGCACAACAACTTTTTCATGTCTTTTTTCTGAACTTTAAACACATTTTGTAATATCTTTTTTTGTTCAATAATTCAAGAATACATACCGGTTCCAAAAAGTGCAATCACTAATACGATTTGTTTCATTTTGGTTGATTTTTTTGTTTCTATAAAATAAAATTTCGACACAAAAAAAATGTTCTTTTATTTTATATTTTTTTTTCTTTAATGTTTCTTTTTGCTTACTTAAAAAATAATTTTGCACAAATTTAATTTTTTTCAATAAATTTTTTCAAAAATTTCACTCGTCACGTCTTTCAATCACTCATAAAAACTGAACATCAACTGTATTTGAATTCAAGCTTACATTCGGTTTTTATACCCCAGCTTATGAAAAAGTCAGTCAGTTGCCTATTAAGCTACGAATATTTTGTTGTATTTCTTTTTTTTTCTTTTCTTACTTGCTGTGTTGTTTTTTTGTAGTTCCAACAAAACAACATAGAAAAAGAGAGGAGAAGAGAAGCAGAAAAGAAAGAAAAATAACATATACAACAAGCTAAATAGTATTGGAGTTATACGAGCGGCAAGCTGCAGCAGTGGGGCTGTATAAATCACATTTTGGATACAAATATTTTTTTTCCTTTAACTATAAATATACAATATATACTCCATGTGGATATACATATGCCTCATAAAAAAATCTACAACAAGATTTGTTCTTTTAAAATTCTGTGGAAATATTTTTTTTTATTTTTCGTTCGTATATTAAAAACTGAATCTGATATGCCATAATATAAAAAAAGATATTTCCATATCGCGTATTTTAATATCACACGAGCTAACATGGAAGATGCGGAGTATAAAAAAAGTAAGTATAAAAGTCACGAACATTTCTGTAGAAAAATCTTTCAAGGTACACCAACTTTTGAAAATTTGCCAAGTCATTAAATGCCATAGAGATGTTTAGGTTTGGGGAGTTTATTTAACGAATATTAAAGAGAAAGCTTTGAAGAATCCTAAATTTCATATTTGGTAAGGGAATGCTTTTAAAGTTTTAAAAAATTGTTCTATGAAGTCGATCATTTTTAGCGTTTGTTAAAAAACATGATTTTTAAACCCCTCTCGTTCTTCTGTCACAAAATTTCTTACAAAAAAAAATCCTTTGTTTAAGAATCCTCCCTAGGATGTTGTACGTTATAAGGGCTATAAGGCCTTATAAGGGTTATATGGGCCCTATGTTAAAGCTATGAAGTCGTGACTACTCTTGTGACTATAAAAATGTGAAGATGAAAAATTAATTAAACTTCGACATCTATTTCTATTTTTATAAAATAGTTTCCTGGAAGTACGTGGGCAGGATATGTCCAATCAACTTGAAATTCAGTCTGAAAATTGCCCTTACTTACTTACTTCGATGAACTTACAGATCAATTTTGAACCATGGGCTCCCTAAGATGCCGCCTAAAATTGGCTCTATCGCTGGCTACCGCTTGCCAATTTTCTAAACCAAATGCAATACTGTCTCTATCAACAGCCATTTTCCATGAGTTCTTTCGTCTTCCACGTTCTCCTTTTTCCATCCACAAAGTCCGACTTAAAGATCTTACTTAACATTGTTCTAATACAGGTTATTTTAGGTCATCAATCAAAACTTTTTTGTCGTGCTTAGTTACCGAGATACATCATGTTAATAGAATAGGAAGAATAGGAGGGTCTTGGCAAGGAGCGGGGAGGGTGGGATCACTCTATGATGTCTCCATGAGGAAATTCTTATTTTCATGATATCAACAATTTAAAAGTAGCAAATATATCAAAACTATCAAGTCAGAAATCAACCTCTCTGCCCCCCACTCAATTTTCAAAATTATCATGTGAAATCATTAAATTCTTTTCAATTCTCATCATCATTCCTTCAGCATCCTTCAAAACCACTCAACAACGCACCCAAAATGCATCATCATACTCATAAATTTTTGTACACAAAAAGCCGCACCAAAAAAAAGATTGGCGAGATTTACTAATGTAAAAATAAAAATTCATCGCACCTGCGAATGTGTGTGCGAGAATCGGCTTGTGTGTGTTTGCTACTCCGTGCATGTTTTGAATGAAATTAACTAATTTCTCTGCTTGCTGAATTCTTTATTTAATTGAATTTTTGTGCTTCTTCTTCTCTTCTCGCTCATCGCCTTCAATATTATTTTTTGAGCTTTACAAGATTCTAGGAATAAAAATTGCAATTCACACCTTTTTTGTGAATAAGCAACGGCAATGGGAGAAAAATTTCCATTTTCAAAACATTCATTGCATCCAAATCCGATGAACCGATGATGCTGATGAGCCTTATAATTATTGTGGGCAGAAAGGCGTGAAAAATTGCAAATTTTAGAGAATCTGCAGCATTTGAATTGAAATAATAATTTGTCATCTCGTCTACATATTAAGCGACTCCATATGTAACATTACGTGACATCTTGCAAATTATTACGAATTGATACTGTGGTGTATTTAATACCAAATGATGTTGTATCATTTTTTTGCACTGTTGTCATTGACATCATCATTGATAGATTTCTGTAAACTTTTTTGTGTTTCTTTTCTTCTCAAAAAAAAAACTGCAATGCTCGAAGCATAAAAACGAAGAAAAAATAGCAACAAGAAGCATCGCGTAAACCATGGGAAAATATAATCAGTAAAAAATATGAATTTTTATATGATTGAGATATTGATGAAGATGAGCTCGAGTATGAGAAAGTTTTTTCAGCTATTCATCAATTTATTTTTTTTGTGTGTGCACATTTTGTTGTTTTTAATATTATCGTCGTATACATAAAGAAGAAAGATTTCGAATAATAATAGAGATGTGGATCGAACATGCATGAACATTGTAAATGATGTTGAAATCTCTTTAGTTTTTTTTTTTGGGATTGATGAAAGTTGATAAGAAGAAGATGATGACGATGATGTGTTTAAATTTTAAAGTGTTGATTCAGAAGTTTTGCAGACTATTTTTGAAGCTTGAGAATTGTGTTTAAAGCTGATGATAGATGCAAGAATATTGCAGAACTAAGTTTCATCACAAAACTTTGTGACATTCTAGCAGTTTACTATAAAATTGACAAAAATGGCACTTATGACGTGGATCAAAATTATAACTTTTTAGCAGAGCTCAAAGTCGATAGAGTTCGAGTCGACTCGACTCAAAACCGAGTCAACTCAACTTTGCTCGAGTCAGCTTTACTCGAAAACTCTAAGTCGACTCGTGTCGACTTCGAGCTCTGCTTTTTAGAACTTTTCTTCCCATGTTTCAAAAATTTCAATGAAAAACAAAATTTTCAGTTGAACTGTTATTATATCTTTGACCACTTCCCTAAAAAGACGTAACATATGAACGAGCCCCAACTTGATTTTATAGACTTCGTGTTGCCAAAATGAGAAGTATTTGAAATTTAAATTTTGATGAAATACGAAACTGATTGTGGCAATCGTTAAAGATGTTTGTGTTAAAAAAATGCAGCAAATATCAACCAAGTGGAGTCTTGACGCTAATGAATAGTAAATAACTAGACCAGCAGTCGACTTAGTATCAATGAATGAAGGAGATTGATAAATTGAATTAAATTAAATTAAATTAACAAATTTTTAGGGTATATTTTGAAAAATGTCACTAGTCGATCGTAGGCATAGTTATTTACTTGTTACTAGCGTCAAGTATCAACTCGAATTAGTAAAGTTTTCAATCTTCAAGAAATTGGGGATGTCTTGAGTACTGTGTGAATGCTTGACAGCCTATATAATAGATTGAGATATCGAGCTTTATTAGGAACTGAACCCACATCCCTGAAAAATAGACAGGATTATAGAATCATATTTTTCTTTCTGTTTTTTAACAATTCTAGCAGAGAAGCCTTTTTCTCGTCTTGATAGTTTCGACTGAATATTCATTAAAACTCTTTGTTTTGACTCCATTTAGACACCACAAATGCGGACTCTATAATCTCTCCCTAAAAGTGTACAAGTGCCTGTAAAACTCCCAATGTATGTCTAAATTTATACAAATCTACCCCACAAAATTTTATATATTCCAAACCTTGAAAAAAAAATTCTTAAACTTTATGCAAATTAAGCATGCCAAGAACTTGTGTTTCAATGATTCATGAATTCAAATCTTATTCTAGAACAATAATCTTGAATGGTATTGAAATCTAAATTTTTCTTGGAAAGATTTTGCATATATTTAAAACATTTCATATCGTAAATCCTAATATTATAAATATTCAGAATATTAATCAGTTCAATGTGTGATTTCCTTACCTTAAAAGTCTTGCGGATCCTTGATTTTTCTGTAAAAATTAAGATTATTAAAATTAAGGACCCCCTCCTTTATTCAGACTTTAAATTTTTTTTGATGTGTCCACTGATGTGAACAATAAAAGCAGATAACAAGTAAAACCAGTAAAAGTACAACGCTTTCAACACTCTGTCAATAATTTTCATGTACCATGTCATTAAATAATCAAAGGGCTTTAAACATAACATTGCATCAATTCCATAAAAGTGAATATAGGAGATGTAAGCCGATGATTTTCTTGGAACTGATAACATAAATTTTAAGTGTGATTTTGTAGAGCGTATCTGCATGTTTACAGATACCAAATTTATTGACAGTTTTATCGTCTTACATAAATTTTTTTCAAATCATTTCTTAATAACTGGTAGGATATTTTCATAATTTTGTCATTCATAATCTTTTTATTTGATTTTGAAATGTAAAAAGTTTCAGGTTTTAGCGAAAAAATTGTCAAGTTGACAAAATGTGTGGTTGATGGTTTGTCTACTTCTTGTCTAGACTTTGAGATTGATCAACAGTTATAATTGATAGAAAATTTAAGAATTGTACTCAAGAAGACTCTAGACGGAGTCGTTCATTCATTTAGTGTTGGAAATGGGAGGGGGGGGGGGGGTCTAAAATGAAATGGCTTTCTTAATAAAAGATCCCAAACAGACCTTAAAATTATTTTAAAACAATGCTCAAAATATTCAACAAATTACACGCAGCACACTGAAAATGACATGGAGTTTGAAGACAACTCAGCCATTTCTACTTGAAAAATGCCATCGTTACCCCAAATCACAATCTATTTAAACACAATTAAAATAAATTTTTATTCAAGCATCCACACTCAATTACCTCTCATGTATATCTGCACAAAAATAAATAAACATTTCAATATCAATGGCAAAAAAAAACATTGCAATTACTTTCCGGATATCCTCTTGTAAATCGCCGCAAGTTCGGTACATTTCTTTCAATATCAGATCAATAAGCAGCTGGAATTGCGATTTTATTTATGTTAAATTGAATTTTCAAGCTTTATTAAAGCCTTAAACAAATTAGTTTCAGACTTCGATACGGTAAAT